GAGCATGACTTAAGAACACCGCTCTGGGATATGTGGCATATGCCCCTCACATGCTGTGCACACACTAAAAATTCCGACAAAAGAAGAATATAAAAATTTCCAAAAGAAAAGAGAATCTGTAAACTGTGTCTCTGTTTTGACCGCCTTTGGCTTGGATGCTATCTTGATATCCTATTTCTTAGTTCATGAAAGCAATTTTTTTTTTTTAAATCAAAAACAACTTTTCTTAAGCTCTTTTATTTTAACATTTTGTCCGTTGTGCGCATACCACATCGATTCTGAAGCAGCACACATGCACATGGATAAGCATGGAGAAAAGCAACACACACACACACACACACACACACACACACACACACACAAACACACGTCCGCACACACTGCGCCACGCAAGCACGCACCCACCCACGCAAGCACACACACACATGCATACATACAAGACCATACGCACACGCACACACCTGTACCACAGAGTGATAACGCGATTCGTGAGTGGGCAGTTATTCTCGCTCGAAAACGACCGGGCAAGTCCAAAATCTGCAAGCTTCAAGACTCCATTATTATCGATTAAAAGATTGGACCCTGTAGAAACGGAAGCGAAAAACAAAAACAATCAATGAAACACAAAATTGCACCAGCAGCGATTCCCAAAAGTATTCCTAGCCATACTTTTCGCCATTCCACAAAACACACACACACACACACACACACACACACAAATGCAAACCCGCACGTCCTCATACAATTCTCAAGCTACAAAAACGAACGCATTAGCAATGGAGAGAATGCATTCGCCTTGCGATGAGGTTAGACCATATTCAGTAATCATTTGCTGTCAAACGGTTTTCTTCGTCTCGCGATTGGAATAGCAGCCGCTAATAACAAGCAGCTCTCTAGCAAGAGACAAAAGACACGTTTCAGGCTCGAATGGAAATGGAACCAAATACCTACGGTAGGTTACGGGGCAGGGATACGAGGCCCGGATCCTGAAAGCACCTACGAACTGACTTAAAAGACCCGGGGCCAGTTCCTTGGGACCAGGTCTTTGGGTGCAATGTTCTTGGGCACAGGCCATCAGCTCTACTTGGCCCCACTTCGTCCCAGTCGGTCCCAGTTGGTCCCACTTAGTTCCACATCCTAGGGACCATGCCCTTAACTCCACATCCTTGGGACTATGCACTTGACTCTTCCTTGGGCCCACGTCCTTGGGACCAGGTTTTTGGGCACCATGATCGTGGTCTCATGTCCTTGGGCCCATGTGATTGGTCCCAGTGCGCAACTATACTTCATGTACCTGCCTTGGAAGACACTCTTGTTCATTGGTGTACTGTCGTAAAATGTAATTAAATTTTTAATATGTTATTTATTAAAAAAAAAAAAAGGCAACGGTCTTGAGATATCATCATCGACTTGACCGGCCCCAGATAATTCAGAATTATTTCATTGCATTCATCAACGTCCATAAGGATTCGAACTTGGGTCTGTAATTCGACAGTTCATGGGTGTACCAATTCTCTTATAAATTTTATTTTTTTTTGTGCCTCAAACCACCACTTCATGCCCCCGACAAAATCGTCAGACTGAAGCTGTATGCACAGCGAAAATTTTGGGGTTTGGTTCTTGTGGACCAAAATGGCTGGGGCCTGCTCCTCCTCCTCAACATGTCACGTCACCTCCCCTCCTCCTTCGCCCTCCTCCTTGCATGGCACGTGCTGCGCTCACCTTATTGCACGGAAAGGAAAAGGTGAGAGAGAGAGAGAGAGATTGTCCCCCGTCACCCCATCCCCCTTGCGCACCCTCTCCCCGTCACCCTCCTCCCCCACCTCTCCGCGTGCCACATGGCATGCATAAGTCATTCAGCAAAAACAAAAAAGTCAAGAAAGGCGCGAGAGAGAGAGGGTTTGTTGTTGTTGTCGTGTCCCCCTTGACGTCCCCACCCTCCTCCTCCATGTCCCCTCTTCCTCTTCCTCTGTGCAAGCCACATGGTGTGCGCACGTTATTGGATTGAAAAGCAATAGCACGGAAGGCAAGAGAGAAAGAGAGAGGACCCATTGTCACCATCATCGTGTCGTCCTCCCCCACATCGTTGTTGTCGTCCTCTGCCTCCTCCTCCTCCTCCTCCTCCTCCTCCTCCTCCTCCTCCCTTCCTCTTCCTTCTCATCTGCAGCATCACATAGCGTGCACACAGTATTCCGTAAGAAAAGAAGAAATGCAAGAGTGCGAAAGAGAGAGAGAGAGAGAGAGAGATGTCTTTGTCATTCTGTGCCCCTCCTCGCCGTCCACCCTCCTACTACTAAAGGGCACCAGACCACGTTTCCATGCAGCTTTCGCGATGTGCGCCCCCCCCCCCCAACCCCCACCCCCACCCCCACGCAAAAAACATCTTTCTCGGGGGTCACGTACACATACGTCCCTTCATGTACGTGTCACTGCTGCGGACAACAGCCTTATTGACAGCATTAATGAATGCAGCTATTATCGCCCCCAATTTTCTGCGGACTTTTGCTATTAACATTACATCGGGAGCTGCAGCCAATGGCTATTGTTCATCCCGCAGGAGAATGATGGGAACACTACTGAATTTTCTCTTCTCTGAAAAGCAACTACACGGTGCACAATTGAGTTCAATTGACATCTTTATCTGCGACAACTGCCACGAAGTTGTAGACAGTGAAATTGCATTAAAGTCCAACAAGGCACTTCAACTGTGAAATTCCGGATCCAACCCAACAACATTCATGGCTTCTTTCTTCTTTTTTTTTTCTACCACAAAAATGTTCAGCCTTTTTAGACGTTGTGTTCTGCAGCAGGGCAGCGCGGTTTGAGATGTGATCCATTTGGAATAGGAAAACGTAAGCGCCTTCTGCAGCAGGGCACGGCAGTCTGAGATGAAATCGATTCGGTACAATGCCAAGCCTAATGGGGAATCAAGATCAGGTGCACGCTACAGTGCCGTGCATACAACATAAGTCCTGCGTTTCGATACACAGATCAGGACTTTCCTGGATGTATCTAGCCTCTCGATCAACGTCCACATTCATTCCGAAACGCCTGGTGAGCATATTACATCAGTTTTAAGTTGCCTCTCGCACCCCTTAATCTTCCCTGAAGCAAGTGACCAAAATCAGGACATATACTCAGATTAGGATCTTTCTGAATGCATCGGACCTCAATTGCCGTCCACATTCAGTGCAGAACATGCTCGTGTGCATACAAAATTGTCAGACTAGGTAGGACCTTCTTGGATGTTTCCGACCGTCTGCTGACCTAATTAACCTCCACATTCAATTCAACACGCCCCCCAGCTTTTCTGAAGGTATCTGACTGCGTTTACATCCACATTCAGTCAAGAAAGTGCAAGATCGGGGGGCCTTCTTGGATGTTTCCAACCGTAGTATGAAGTCTTCTGCGCATCTAACGAACATACGTTCTGAGCTCCTTCCGCACAGTCCCCTCCGATCTTGCACAGAGACCTCATACTACACAATCACATTAGGACTTTTCTGAAGGTATCTGACTGCGTTTACATCCACATTCAGTCAAGAAAGTGCTAGCGTGATTGTACGCAGCCCCCCCCTTGCCCTCGAACCCCACTCTCATGGCACAACCTTCCACGCAACAAACTTAAACAAGCACCACACTCACCCTTGATGCCCCAACTTACCCTTGATATCCCGATGAAGGACCTGATTCAGATGACAGTAATGCAGACCTTTAAGAAGCTGCTGCATGTAACACTGTTGCAAAATCAAGAGGGCGGCCAGCAATCCAACGACGCAGAGGTCAGTCTAACAACCAAAACAGGAGAAAAGGGCGGCGACACACTTTCTGCATCCCTTGGGGGTAAGGAAATTAACTCGCAACGTTCATAAGAGAAACATAACTTTAAAATTTAAATTGTGCTAATTAAATATTGACAGGACATGTCCTCCTGGACATCCATTAAAATTGGAACGATACACAGAATGAAAGATTAGCATGGCCCCTACACAAGGATGACACGCATAAATCGAGATATGGTCCAAATAAAAATAAAAAATGAAAATAAAAAGAAGACAGGACAAAAAAAAAAAAAAAAAAAAAAAAAAACTATTGACAAGACACTGAAGACAGGTCATTTATCTAGTAGCATCTTTGTCTCTGAGTGTGGCAGGTTCCTCTCCTCATCAAAGAGCAGGGGACATGATCACCACTCATCACACCTACAATTCCACAACTGCCATCAATCGAAACTTCATTTCGGCTTTGTTGCAGCTTTTCCCTTGGCTGCTGGCAGAAGAATAGTGCTCCGATTTACTCTTTCGAGAAGCTTTTTTTTCCCCCTTTCACCTGCTGGTCATTCATTCATCAGGGCCTTTGCTCTGAAGCTTTGCCCTTCTCATGGCTCGGATTGTTGGGTGGTGCCCTCCCCATGTAGGAGAGGAGAGGATTTACGAGATAGGAGAGGATGTAGGAAAGATAGGATGTGGGATAGGAGAGGGTACGTGAGAGGAGAGGGTATATATGAGAGGATGTGGCAGAAAATATTTATCGAAGAGAATAGAGTAGAGAACAAGTGGGACAAAGCATTTGTTACCTTGCGCGTAATGGATACGTGAGACTTGAGAGTTGCACGCACCATTATGCCGCATTATACGAGGTCGTATGGAACGATCAGGTAGCCAGTAAATCTAACACAATGAAAGCAAGAGAAGCCACTCCAACGAAGGGTCGTGAGTGGCATTACTGGGAAGGTGGCATCTTGTTTTTCGGTTCTCCTTAAACTCTTCGTCCCTAACTGCATCATCACTTCCATTCTTCATGTTTTCACCTCTTCATCTCTCCACTACATGTACACTACCAGGGAACACCGCAACCCTCCCTAACCTAACCCATGGGGAAGGTTTGCACCACAGTGTTGCACCTGTTGGTGCAAGAGCGAAGTTGTGCCACGCCCTCATCACGCTGACGTGGGGATGGGTAGGCATTGCCACTGGGGGAACACTGGCAGTGCTAGTGCCAAGCACCGTGACCAGTCGCTGCGCCTCCCCTTTCCACCCCAACTAGTCCACATTCGCGGTGTCTAGTAGCCAATATCACTGTGCATCACACCCAACAATATTCGCGTGTGTTCCATCGCACCCAACAATATTTGCGTGGTCCTGCTAATGCTGGCCTGGGGGGTCAGCGGGCTATCTCCCGGTGATAGTGCACCAAGCATGCCCAGCCACATACGCGAGGCCAATGGGAATCGAAACCACAACCTCCTGAATGACGCTTGTGTGCCTTACCAAATAACCTAGACCCATCGGCATCTTGGGTCTTGCTGCAAAAACAGCACAACAAACTTTTAGGTGTAGCAAATCAAGCTCTTTGAATTGTCGAAAAGGAAATCCAACTACAAACTGGGCTAGCTCAGTAGGTACACACCCCTGCACTGTTCAAATATGAATCAGACCCAAGTTCGAATCCAGATACAATCAGATGACCAGAATAACATCATTCCGAAATACCCGGGGCCAGTCAATTCAATGACGATATCTCAAGGCCGTCGCCCTTTTAGAGAGAGAGAGAGAGAGAGAGAGAGAGAGAGAGAGAGAGAGAGAGAGAGAGAGAGAAGAAGGAAATCCAGCTCCTCAGATTGGCGAGAGGCTCCAGCTCGAAATTCCCATCGAGAGAGGAATTGCAAACAAGTAGCAACAAGACGAAGAGGAGGAAGAAGCAGAATGGAGAGCAAAGGAAGACAAACAGCTGTGTTCGCTGAGAAGGAGAGCCCAAGAGATCTTGTTTAGCTGGCAGCTGTCTGTGAAGATCAGTCTATGACGGCAAGTTGTGTGAAGAGATTTGATAGCAGCGAAAGAAGCGAAAAAAAACTATCTTGATGCCATTTTCCTCGACCAAGAAGCGAAGTTCTACACAGTTTTGGCAAACCTGCTGTCCATTTACGCGACAACAACGTACCTCTCAATCAACCAACAGGGACTACTGATATTTACACCTGCCTAGAAATACAGAACTCGAAACAAGTCTGTGTATAGATCGTGTGGGATTTGATCCCGGGTCTTAGGCAGCTCATGCATTGGATTATCGACCTCGTGAAATAAATAATACCTTGATTTGTGGAATCGTAAAGCGCATACCCGGCCTATCGGCAAGACCTGTCAGGTCATGATCCATGTACTCAAACACCATGTAAATGTGCCCCTTGTATTTGTTGCTGTCGGTGGCTGACATTAACAACACACACACACACACACACACACACACACACACACACACACACACACACACACACACACACACACACA